ATACGATAACCTTGTTATTACGAGTACTGATTCTTTTGGCCCAAACGTATACGTTAATCATTTTTTTGTGACCTGAAAGCCTTTTTAATACGACTTTAGCTAAAGCGACTCTTAAATTTTTTATGGCCATTGGTTTGTCTCAATTTAATAACTGGGCCACTGTACAGAATTATCATAGAGATCATATTCTTAGTGAGGAATAAATTTGAGAAACAAAGGTTGTCTGTACCACTGGCTTTTTCTCAATAATGATACTCTGCTGAAAGCAATCTTCTTTCAACCCAAATATTCTTAAGGTGTAAAAGTCAGTTCACCATGCATCTTGCGTTGAGTACACGACAAATAAAAAAAAAATACCGCAAAATGAAAGGACGGTATAGCGCTTGACTGTCGTGTTCCGCTTTCAGATAATTCTTTTAATGAAGAATCTTTGAGCTTTGAAATTACCGTTGAAGTTGCCACTATCCTGCTCGGATTACCCATCGTGCACTCAAAGGAGTGAGTCTTTTACAAATGCTTAGTTTGTAAAGATGCTGTCTCAGCACTCAACATTAAAAAGATGCGATTCTGCCGCTACTGATCCTCGATAATAGCAGAAGAATGACGATCGATCGACTGAATAAGTAACTTGTGGAGTGGTAATGCTGAAAACATTCACATGGGTGAACTAATTGATCAGTTTATCGAGTTTAATTGCATTAGGAGCTAGGGGTAGGTTTTATGAAACTGGGCTGTTATATAGGGGGCGTTCGATTGAACGGCGTATTCCGAGATTAGACTACATGGTATAAACTCTAAAATTACTTGTCTTGGCTTTCATTGTACAAACTAAACAAATACAGCTGATCTGATTGAAATTAATCATTCTAATGAATGTAGCATTCCAATTGTCTAAAAAACTGATGCAGCCCAAGGGATTTGTCAAAAATATTGTTATTTCTAATATGATCAATCGAACACACCCTAGGTATCGATAAAAATGTAGTATTCTTTCCTATAACTGTTTTAAAAAGAGCCATATAAATTTGGGACCAGAGGAATACAGCCCTAGGGCAAGATTAATAGCCATGGGAGCCCAGGAAAACCGAAAATGAAAGAAGTTTTTTTTATTATTGTTTGTTGTAGTTTCAAAATAATACTCCCCAGCCAGGCTAATGCCACTGTCACATTGTAGAACTACTGACAACATGCAAATTCAGAAGGTAACTGATTTCCTCCGAAACGAACCAGTCCGTTTGATTAGCCCCTCCTTCATTTTTGACAAAGAAGAAGGTGGGTGTCTTTTGTCCGTTATGCAGTTCTTTTCATTTCGTAGAAACTGTCTGACCGAAGTTTGCAGTATGTCTGTCACCTCTTTGTATCCATCGCACGAAGAAACAGAAATCTCGTAAAATGGACATTCTAGTTCTTGTGATAAGTCACTTCCCTCCGTTTCATCGATCTCTCTAAAATGTTCCAAGTCTCTTTTTGTTGCAATGAGTATCAGCATGACTGAGTTTCCATTTGTTTTGCGTTCTCTGATATGTCTTCCTATCCGCGTGGCTTCTTCAAAACTTGCACGGTCAGTGATGGAGTAGAGGACAAGAAATATATCACCACGGGCTAAACAACAGTTTAACTTTGTTTCTGAGTTCTGTAACAATAATTATGGGAGAATAAAAATGTATAAAGTAATGTTACACGGGACGATTCGCAACGACGATTTTTAGCGCAACCCAGCGTTGCAATGTTGGAACAGTGTTGTAACTATTCAAAACAATGTCGCAACAATGTTGCAACGCTGTGTTGCGCTAAAAATGGTCGTTGCGGATCGTCTCGTGTAACATCACCTTAAAGTAAGTTTTTTCACCTTGATAAATGATTTCTGCAAGTGTTTGTTATTTGTTTTATCGACCATTGAGTGGAAAGATTAAAACACACACTCGATTCTTCCCCTTTTCCACCAAAAGGAATTAAACCCAAGGATGAAAAAAGGCGTGGTTCGATTATCCGATTGGTAGTCCACTGTTTCTGTGACTTAAGGTTATGTTACACGAGACGATTCTCAAAGACGATTTTTAACGCAACACAGCGTTGCCACATTATTGCAATGTTGTTTCCAGTTGCTCCAACATTGTTCCCACATTTTAACGCTGTGTTGCGCTAAAAATCGCCGTTGCAAATCGTCCCGTGTAACATCACCTGTACAGTTGGTCCATTGTCGTAATCAGTTGTTTTCCTTTGATCCGGTTTATAAGGCGGACGCTAATCTACGGGCAAGCTGGGTGTATGAATTAGGTTTCTTGGTTTCTTTTCCTTGATAACCGTTCTTCTCACAGAGGAGATTACTCTGACGAATGAAAAGTCTGGCAGTTTATGAAAATTTAATATTTTAGTTGTTGGAATACTTTAAGAATGAGAAACAACCGCGGCATTTCTGACAGATCGTTACTGTTGCACTATACAAGGTCAGTGACAAAGTTAGACTTGACATCAGTTCTAAAAAAGTTCAGCACTTTTTAGACCTTTTAGTCCTTGTTTATTCGCGGTAGCCTTTGTAAAGATGTAGTTCAAACCTCTCCGAAAGTCAGTCAGTGAAATGAGCAAAAACTGAAGTTGTTATGGGAACGGGTTAACGCACCTCTCCTGCTGTATCCATTAAGTCAACGTAGATGTATTCATTATCCAACTCCATATGATGCCGCCAAGTGGACTCTGATTGAAAGATAAGAGAAAAAAGAATTCGTTATTTAATTACTCTTATTGCTGACTAAATGATTATCTTAGAACTGCTGCCTGTAGTATAAATCATAATCAATAATTATTTCATATGTTATCAGCGGGATGTATAGGTGGCTACTGCGCAAGTACCACAATACCAAGTCTAACAAAACTGTCAACTGAATACCTGTGCAAGTGCATGCTTAATAGTACTGTTCACTCGAAGTAGCCATGCATGCGGTGATGATCAAATTTTTAGGCGTGGCAATTACAAAAGAACCCTTGCGATTATGGTTCGCACAAATTGGCTGCAACTTTTGCAAATAAAACACGCCTTTTCCCCTTTTCACTCGATTAGACTATAACCTGTTTTGGCTTAAGCGAATGCAGCCTGATAAAAACGATATACCTACCTAGAGTCTGGTCGTATTCCGTGATAAATCTTCGGGTAAGGAAACGGACTATGAGAGCTGCAAATTAAACGGGAAAAGATTGAAATATTCCAAAAATGTAATAGGTTTTATTTTTGCTCTCGGTCCGATATAATAGCTTGGGTCTCATAATAGGTTAGATAGGATCTCTGTATTAACACGCCGTAGGGTGCAGTAAAAATTGGACTAATTTTTATACGGTTGTTTTTTCGATTTCCTACTCAAGCTAAAATCCCAATATGTAAACTACTGGCGCAAAAGAGCTACGTGCTGAACACATTCCTTCACTTTAAAATTAAATCAAGTTGGTATGGATTTTACAGGAAAGACCTTTAATTAAGTGTTTGTTGAAAGATCGATAGCAAGTTGGGCTGAACATTCGGGTCCATCTGGCTGCCCCCATCATCTTGAAAACAGGAAACACTGGTTATATAACAGTTGTTGAACTTTCAAAAATATTTTGAGTGTATAGAGGCACGTGATCAAGTGTGCCTAATCAAGAAATAGCGCAATTTTAGCTTCTGAAGCTTAAAGTCTCGAGAAGATCGGTGTTCAGAGAAGCGTTCGTCAAATCAAATTCAAATGTTTTTACTTTAACAATTAGAAACACGAAAATAACTTATACCAATTATCTTTGCCATCTATGTAAATATGAAATAATTAAAATACATTGGATAGTGCAGGTTTAGTTGGTTTTCTATTATTAGAAATAAAGAATCGAGCTACTAGTACTTGCAGAAAACCGGTGACAGGCCTACGTAGCTTCTTTTCGATTAAATTCAGCCGTAGGTGATGGGTTAGAAAGCAAACTTTACTCGAACCTAAAAGTTGTCAAATAAATAAATACGGGTGAAGACATCTTCTGTGAGTATAGAGACCTTAAACTTTATCTCGTAAGGGTTAAAAACCGGTTTCTAAACATGTAAAAGACTTTGCCATTGTTATTTTACAGTGGTTGTTCTCGCGAAATTTTGACGAGGTGCTTTTAAACAAACTTTGTTCATTGAAAAAATAAAACATTTTAAAAACTGTTTATATTCTTTATTTACTTCCATTAATCCTTTTGTTTTAAAAAGGTGTGCATATTTGCGCTGCTTTGGTTGCGCATATACACACACAAAAAAACCACAATGGACAGTTAACAGTAGGATAAGACATTCTTTCTATTTTTAAAGGTAATTTGCTCTGTTGCTGTTGAAATGACCGCGCGGTTGTTCAGTATACAAACTTAGTTTGTTCAAGTGTGGAGCTTAGTAAAAACCCACTTATACTCAGGTGTTTTTTATTTATTACCAGTTCCTTTCACCGGTGCAGTGATGCATTTTAAATTTTTTCAAATTTCATATTTTCTAGACCTCGGACGTTTGTTTATGTTCTAAGTTACACCAGTTATCCGATAAATCCAAACTGTGCAAGTGTGCCGTGAACACGCTTCGAGTTGTTCACTCGCGCGTGTATAAAACGATTAATCTTTCAATGAACTGAGTATTGCGCATAAGCAAATCTAAATCCCTCGGTTTTGTGTCTTATGATGATACCTAATGAACTAAATAAACAACTCCAGTTGTTGCCTCAATTAGTATGTGATTTATCTAATTGTCTAGTGTATTTAAGTTATATGCATCCTAAAATGGGAAAAGTATTATTAATTTTTAAGTTGTTGTTTGCATGCCGGAACTCTTTTATTCTTAGTGAGTAATAAAAGACTTAAAACACTTGACTTTCAAGTGGATATTTCTTTTTATAGCAATTCATGGACACGGAGAGGGGAAAATTGTACTTGGTGCTGATTAGATAATAAATGATCTGCCCCCCATACCGGATAGTGTGAAATGTCCAGTTCACGAAACATCGGCAGATAACTAACTTAACTACTAACTAACTAGTAAATACCTGATTTTCCAACGCCATCTTTGCCTAATACCACAGCTTGTTTTGCGTTCTCTGATATGTCTTCCTATCCGCGTGGCTTCTTCAAAACTTGCACGGTCAGTGATGGAGTAGAGGACAAGAAATATATCACCACGGGCTAAACAACAGTTTAACTTTGTTTCTGAGTTCTGTAACAATAATTATGGGAGAATAAAAATGTATAAAGTAATGTTACACGGGACGATTCGCAACGACGATTTTTAGCGCAACCCAGCGTTGCAATGTTGGAACAGTGTTGTAACTATTCAAAACAATGTCGCAACAATGTTGCAACGCTGTGTTGCGCTAAAAATGGTCGTTGCGGATCGTCTCGTGTAACATCACCTTAAAGTAAGTTTTTTCACCTTGATAAATGATTTCTGCAAGTGTTTGTTATTTGTTTTATCGACCATTGAGTGGAAAGATTAAAACACACACTCGATTCTTCCCCTTTTCCACCAAAAGGAATTAAACCCAAGGATGAAAAAAGGCGTGGTTCGATTATCCGATTGGTAGTCCACTGTTTCTGTGACTTAAGGTTATGTTACACGAGACGATTCTCAAAGACGATTTTTAACGCAACACAGCGTTGCCACATTATTGCAATGTTGTTTCCAGTTGCTCCAACATTGTTCCCACATTTTAACGCTGTGTTGCGCTAAAAATCGCCGTTGCAAATCGTCCCGTGTAACATCACCTGTACAGTTGGTCCATTGTCGTAATCAGTTGTTTTCCTTTGATCCGGTTTATAAGGCGGACGCTAATCTACGGGCAAGCTGGGTGTATGAATTAGGTTTCTTGGTTTCTTTTCCTTGATAACCGTTCTTCTCACAGAGGAGATTACTCTGACGAATGAAAAGTCTGGCAGTTTATGAAAATTTAATATTTTAGTTGTTGGAATACTTTAAGAATGAGAAACAACCGCGGCATTTCTGACAGATCGTTACTGTTGCACTATACAAGGTCAGTGACAAAGTTAGACTTGACATCAGTTCTAAAAAAGTTCAGCACTTTTTAGACCTTTTAGTCCTTGTTTATTCGCGGTAGCCTTTGTAAAGATGTAGTTCAAACCTCTCCGAAAGTCAGTCAGTGAAATGAGCAAAAACTGAAGTTGTTATGGGAACGGGTTAACGCACCTCTCCTGCTGTATCCATTAAGTCAACGTAGATGTATTCATTATCCAACTCCATATGATGCCGCCAAGTGGACTCTGATTGAAAGATAAGAGAAAAAAGAATTTGTTATTTAATTACTCTTATTGCTGACTAAATGATTATCTTAGAACTGCTGCCTGTAGTATAAATCATAATCAATAATTATTTCATATGTTATCAGCGGGATGTATAGGTGGCTACTGCGCAAGTACCACAATACCAAGTCTAACAAAACTGTCAACTGAATACCTGTGCAAGTGCATGCTTAATAGTACTGTTCACTCGAAGTAGCCATGCATGCGGTGATGATCAAATTTTTAGGCGTGGCAATTACAAAAGAACCCTTGCGATTATGGTTCGCACAAATTGGCGGCAACTTTTGCAAATAAAACACGCCTTTTCCCCTTTTCACTCGATTAGACTATAACCTGTTTTGGCTTAAGCGAATGCAGCCTGATAAAAACGACATACCTACCTAGAGTCTGGTCGTATTCCGTGATAAATCTTCGGGTAAGGAAACGGACTATGAGAGCTGCAAATTAAACGGGAAAAGATTGAAATATTCCAAAAATGTAATAGGTTTTATTTTTGCTCTCGGTCCGATATAATAGCTTGGGTCTCATAATAGGTTAGATAGGATCTCTGTATTAACACGCCGTAGGGTGCAGTAAAAATTGGACTAATTTTTATACGGTTGTTTTTTCGATTTCCTACTCAAGCTAAAATCCCAATATGTAAACTACTGGCGCAAAAGAGCTACGTGCTGAACACATTCCTTCACTTTAAAATTAAATCAAGTTGGTATGGATTTTACAGGAAAGACCTTTAATTAAGTGTTTGTTGAAAGATCGATAGCAAGTTGGGCTGAACATTCGGGTCCATCTGGCTGCCCCCATCATCTTGAAAACAGGAAACACTGGTTATATAACAGTTGTTGAACTTTCAAAAATATTTTGAGTGTATAGAGGCACGTGATCAAGTGTGCCTAATCAAGAAATAGCGCAATTTTAGCTTCTGAAGCTTAAAGTCTCGAGAAGATCGGTGTTCAGAGAAGCGTTCGTCAAATCAAATTCAAATGTTTTTACTTTAACAATTAGAAACACGAAAATAACTTATACCAATTATCTTTGCCATCTATGTAAATATGAAATAATTAAAATACATTGGATAGTGCAGGTTTAGTTGGTTTTCTATTATTAGAAATAAAGAATCGAGCTACTAGTACTTGCAGAAAACCGGTGACAGGCCTACGTAGCTTCTTTTCGATTAAATTCAGCCGTAGGTGATGGGTTAGAAAGCAAACTTTACTCGAACCTAAAAGTTGTCAAATAAATAAATACGGGTGAAGACATCTTCTGTGAGTATAGAGACCTTAAACTTTATCTCGTAAGGGTTAAAAACCGGTTTCTAAACATGTAAAAGACTTTGCCATTGTTATTTTACAGTGGTTGTTCTCGCGAAATTTTGACGAGGTGCTTTTAAACAAACTTTGTTCATTGAAAAAATAAAACATTTTAAAAACTGTTTATATTCTTTATTTACTTCCATTAATCCTTTTGTTTTAAAAAGGTGTGCATATTTGCGCTGCTTTGGTTGCGCATATACACACACAAAAAAACCACAATGGACAGTTAACAGTAGGATAAGACATTCTTTCTATTTTTAAAGGTAATTTGCTCTGTTGCTGTTGAAATGACCGCGCGGTTGTTCAGTATACAAACTTAGTTTGTTCAAGTGTGGAGCTTAGTAAAAACCCACTTATACTCAGGTGTTTTTTATTTATTACCAGTTCCTTTCACCGGTGCAGTGATGCATTTTAAATTTTTTCAAATTTCATATTTTCTAGACCTCGGACGTTTGTTTATGTTCTAAGTTACACCAGTTATCCGATAAATCCAAACTGTGCAAGTGTGCCGTGAACACGCTTCGAGTTGTTCACTCGCGCGTGTATAAAACGATTAATCTTTCAATGAACTGAGTATTGCGCATAAGCAAATCTAAATCCCTCGGTTTTGTGTCTTATGATGATACCTAATGAACTAAATAAACAACTCCAGTTGTTGCCTCAATTAGTATGTGATTTATCTAATTGTCTAGTGTATTTAAGTTATATGCATCCTAAAATGGGAAAAGTATTATTAATTTTTAAGTTGTTGTTTGCATGCCGGAACTCTTTTATTCTTAGTGAGTAATAAAAGACTTAAAACACTTGACTTTCAAGTGGATATTTCTTTTTATAGCAATTCATGGACACGGAGAGGGGAAAATTGTACTTGGTGCTGATTAGATAATAAATGATCTGCCCCCCATACCGGATAGTGTGAAATGTCCAGTTCACGAAACATCGGCAGATAACTAACTTAACTACTAACTAACTAGTAAATACCTGATTTTCCAACGCCATCTTTGCCTAATACCACAGCTCTTGTAGCTTTGAAATTTGGTTGATGACTTGTCTTTCTTTTCCGCATGTTGTCGGCGTTGTTTTCAGTTTATTATCAACAGGAAAAATCCATCGAATGGATTCCGTGCTGAAATATCTATGAGACAGAAACGGAAATAAAGCTATTAGCTGTTAGTTGTTTTAAAGTTTAGTGGGAAAATGTTTTGTCGAATATAACAGTGGTCAAATATTATCAAAAATATCAATAAGAGCAAAATAACCATAATCTGCAATGTTCCAAAAACAAATTAAACTGTTTTTCAAAAGTTTGACTTCTTAAATTTTGCTTTACGATAAACGCACGGCTGTCTATTGACTCTCTCAAGCATCGCTAAACCTCTACTAATCTTCAAAATCCGATGTCTATTGTGTGTGCCCTTTTTAAAGTGATGTCTCGTTAGTTCAGTGAACCTGTTGTACTCTTTAAGAGCCACTCAACATTATCTCCTCTGTCGGGATTTTTCACTGTGAACCAACCCAACATCAAACAAACCCTTACTGCAGCAATAAAGGTTCACTGCACCAGTTTCAATGCGTGGCAGTGAACTATTTGTTTGCAAGCGTTTTTTCGTTACTCGCGGTCTCATTAATAACTAAAATGATATTTCGCATCATAAGAGCCTGATGTTAACCTTATCACTCCCTATTGACCGCAAAACAAAAAATATAAGTACCTTTCTGTGGACGTATGACTACCTCTTCAGTACAATGAATGTACAATAGCGAAAATTCTTAATTTCCTACACATTAACAGTCGGACGCTTGTAACGTAAATTAAGCAGCTACTTCTATTTTAACTCTTTTATGTCCTTTAAAAACAGCACAGTATAACCTGTCATCTGTGTGAAACAATTCAGCTGTTTCTATTGGCTAAGCTCGCCGACCGAGACAAATGAAACACCTCAAATTGCTCGGGTTAGAATGCTTGAGGATTGTATTTATTTTGTTGTATTATGTTGCGTAAATTTTTTAAGAATGAATAAGTTTAAGACGTTAA